GTTGGTGTCTAATGAGGCGTGAGCGAAAGGAGAAGCGTCTCCCACACCTGGTGCAGGGAAAGGGCTTCTCCTTCGTGTGTCCCCTCTGGTGACCCAGAAGTCTCCCACTTTCCCTGAAGCTCTTCCCACAATCCTGGCACTTGAAGGGCCTCTCTCCCGTGTGGGTCCGTTCGTGACGTCTCAGGTTGCTCCCCCAGCGAAAGACCTTCCCACAATACTCACACTTGTACTCCTTGTATCTGGAGCTACTCGGTGGTTGGGATGCGCCTTCTTGAGTATCTTCAGCACACGTCCCTGTGAAAGAGCATTTTGGTGTTCTCTTGGTACCACATCTTTGCTCTTCTTCCTCCTCCTCCTCAATCCCTCCCCCATTCCTCCTCCTTCTTCACCCTGGACAAGCACCCACCCCTCATGCCCAATTTCACATGCCCGAAACTCTCCACACCCCATGGGAGGGCCGGGGATGGAGCTGGGGCAGGTCGGGATGGGGCAGGGTTGGGCTCTTGGCTGCTCCCACCCTCTGCGGGTGAACCCGGGAGGGGGAAGGTGAGAAAACCCATGAGTGGGGGGAAAAGTAATTTACCTGGAGGAGTCAGGAGGAGCCATCACTCACTCCGCCCACAGGGACATGGATTCTCAGCCAGGTCCGGACCAAATTCTGGCCCAACCAGCCCCCAAACCCCCTCCTCTACATTTCAGAACTGAGCACAACTTGATATGGGGTTGAGCACCCCGGAGGACTCACCAGGATGAACGGCCCGCTGATGCCTCCAGAGATCTGAATTATATAAGAACTTCATCTCGCAGTGCGAGCAGGGGTAGGGTCTCTCTCCTGTGTGAGTTCGTTGGTGTCTGATGAGGCTTGAGCTATCGAAGAAGCATCTCCCACACGTGGTGCAGACAAAGGGCTTCTCATTGGTGTGTGTCCTCCGGTGACGCACGAGGTTCCCACTTTCCCTGAAGCTCTTCCCACAATCCTGGCACTTGAAGGGCCTCTCTCCCGTGTGGGTCTGTTTGTGAACTCTCAGGCTACTCCGCCAGGGAAAGACCTTCCCACACTGCTCACACTTGTGCTCCTTCTTTCCAGATCTACTCCGTGGTTGGGCTGCATCTCCCTGTAGATCTTCACCATTCGACCCTGTGAAAGAGCATTTTGGGGGTTCTCTGGGTATTTTACTCCCTCACGTATCACCCCACACCACAGAGCAGGGCCGGACGCCCCCAGCCCCACCCCTGCAGATGACCCCAGACCCGCTCACACCAGTCCCCCCAGGAGCCAGCGCTGGGGCCACAAAGAGCTCAGACAGAGATTGAATAACGACGACAGGACCAACGGCGATGGCCGAGGCACACAAGGAGCCCTTGTGCTGCGCTGCCAGCCCCTTCTACAGCCTTTCCTTGGGTGTCCCCCCCTTTTCTGCCCCTGACCCCTTCCCCTGCTCATCGCCTCCTCCGTACGCACAGTCCCCCCCCCAGTGCTGCATCCTCAGCAGCTGCAAAGCTGTGGTAGAGCTTCCACCTGCTACTGGGGCTGGGAGATCCCCGGTAGGGACCCAGAGAGCTTTGTTTGTGCTTAAGGTCTTGGTTAACCACAACTGACCAGGTTTAAAGTCCATGATATTCTTTTCCATTAGTGCCATGTGGGCACCTGAGCCCCACCCAGACCCTTCCTCGCCCCTTCCTCCTCAGGGGGAGGACTCCTCACACTCCTCCCCTGCTCCGCCGGGGGCTCCCTCCCACGGGAGACAGTCCTCCACGATCTTCCTCCCACCTGGGTCCCTCCCAGGGGCTCTGGGGGGGCATCTGCTCCCCCGTGGGGCTCCACGGGTGCAGGGCAGTCTCTGCTCAGAGCACCTCCTGCCTCCTGCCGTCCCTCCTCTCCCTCGTTGCTTGCAGAGCTATTTCCCTCCCCCAGCCAAGTTCCCCTTTTTAAATACCTTGTGCCAGTGGTGGGGCTGTTGAGGAAGGCAGGGGGTCTGCCACCAGGAGGGTGGAAGATTTCCTCCTTGATAAGACTCCAGTGTGCCCTTCAAAGGAAGGAATGTCTGCTGAATAATCAGGATAAGCGGAACAGTGAGCAAGGAAGCGGGATGCAAGAGCTGCAGCCTCACGCCCATGGAGGAGCGGATTAGAAGAGTACAGACTAACCGAGAGCAGTGCCAATGTTAAAAGTCAACTGTGTGACCAACCAAATGAACACATGCTCTGGGAACGCAGATACGAAAGAAGGCTTTGGAAAATAAAGATTATTAGACATTTTGCCTGCAACATTCGTTTGTCGTGTCCGTCTCGTCTCGACTACGACAGTGGGGCCACCGTCACGAATTGGCTCGGCCTTGGCCAGGAGCAGCAGGTCCCCTGCCTGTCCCCTGCCTGTCCCCTGTGTGAGCTTCACAAGCGCGTGAGGAGATGGGAGTGCAAGGGTACGGGTGCCCACGGCTGTGTGTGTGTGTGTGTGTGTGTGTGCTTCCTCTTCCCACCCAAGCTCATCTTCATCCCTCCCCCTCATCCATCCTTTCAACTCCTTCAAGGCTGAACCTCCTCCTCCTCTGCCTCGTCCTCCTCCTTCCCTCCTTCTTCTTAATCGTAAATGAGAACACACCAGAGCTCCCCAATTTTACCACCAAAAAACTCTTACACTCCAGGGGAGGGCGGGGGATGGAGCTGGGGCAGGTCGGGATGGGGCAGGGTTGGGCTCTTGGCTGCTCCCACCCTCTGAGGGTGAACCCGGGAGGGGGAAAGGTGAGAAAACCCAGGAGTGGAGGGAAAAGTAATTTACCAGGAGGAGTCAGGAGGAGCCATCACTCACCCCGCCCATGGGGACATGGATGCCCAGCCAGGTCCGGACCAAATTCTGGCCCAATCAGCCCCCAAACCCCCTCCTCTCCATTTCAGAACTGAGCACAACTTGATATGGGGTTAAGCCCCCCGTGAGGACTCACCAGGATGGACGGACCGCTGATGCTTCCTGAGATTTGAACTGTGTATGAACGTCATCTCGCAGTGGGAGCAGGCGTACGGTCTCTCTCCTGTGTGAGTTCGTTTGTGTGTAACGAGGCTTGAACTACTGGAAAAGCATCTGCCACACGTGGTGCAGGTAAAGGGCTTCTCCTTGGTGTGTGTCCTCTGGTG